CATCCCCACACGGCGGACCGATCCAGTAACACCCGCCCACTACGGCCGTGAGCACTCAGCACGTGCTCTTCTCCAATGCCACACTACAGGTTCCGGCATCGCAGATCAAACACGCCATGTCGGACTCCAGGGTCACACGGATCTGAATTTCGATCAATGATCGCGTCGCTGGTTCGCTCTATCCACGAGGCAAGTTTTGGTGTCAGTGAGCCAAGGACAGATCACTGATCGCAATACGGATCCGCCCTTAGTGCACGCATGTCAGACATGAAATCAGAGCTGTGATACGTCACAAAATAATTGGGCGGGGCTTAATGGATCAGTCTATTGAATAAACAGTATCCAGAAAAACGGGTCTTGTTAAGGTTGTGAACTCTCTTCGCCAGAGTTTGTGTATTATGGTGTACTATTTACGACAAACATTTCTCTCTCTCCTGCCTCCCCCCAGGCGACGCAACCAGACGACGTGACGGCACGATGGCTCCCTTGCATCGTGCCGTCGGGTCGAACCGTCGCCTTCTTGCCATTCGATCGTTTGTACAAACACCTCGCCCGTCGCGTCGTGCTGTCTTATAGGTCCTTTCCTTGTTGCATTTTTTCTGCCTAAAAATCGCCCCTTCCGTCGCTCATCGCGTCGTGTCGTGCATCGTGTCGCCTGAAGCACGACGCGACAAACCACACGACGCGACTCGTCGTGTGCTGTCGCCCTTTACTTCATGGTGTTTATAGAGGGCGCCTTTACTGTTTTCTTTCATTTCCGTCCACCTTTCTTGAAAAGTACATGCAACTCGCTCTTTAGTGTTAATTTTTCATTGTTTTTTATCTCATCGATTCATTAATTGGGATTTCTGTTATATTTTATTGAAAAAATAATAAAAGAGCAAAAGAAAATCAAAATTTGTAGGAACTGCTCTCTCAAAATAAGCGGAAACCGCAAGCTCAGAATTCGTCACTCCCAGCCAATGATTTCTTTTGTTTTCTCTCATTTCCATCCATCGCGCTTGCAAAATACATGCCCTGAGCCGCAGGCGTTGATTTTTTTTTGGGGGGGGGTTGTTTCATCCATTCATCAAAAGATTTAGTTTTTGTCATATTTTATCGAAAAAAAATGAAAACGAGCAAGAAGAAAATCCGCGTATGTAGGTGCTCTCACATAATAAGTGTAAGCCCAGAATTCGTCACTTTTTAATTCACCCGGCTGATCCTTGTTCGAATGTCCGTCCAATTTTTTTTAAGACCGTTGATGAAGTTCCCATTTGTGGCAGATTTGTAACCTTATAAATATTTCTCTGTGGTCCATGCCAGCGGTTTCCAAGTAGTTCTCCAACTCCTCCAGACAATTTGTGTACAATTGTACGACCACAGGTTTGACCGTGGATTTAGGTAGTTACTACCCAGCCTGCTCTATATTATTACCCTCAGAATATTCAGTCTTCCTTCAGTATAGTCTTCCTCGTTAACTTCATCAGCACCACACTTACGATGATATTGGTCCTGGTTTCTTAATTAAACACTATAGATCCTACCACCATTGTGACGGTTTTTTTTTTCATGCTCTCTGTTGGGCCTCGCGCTTAATTTCTCATGAGATCTGCATGTTACTTTTTTGCAAGCATGTAATTATGATTGATGTATTGTATCTCAGAATGGATTAACAGTAATTATCAGAAAAATCAGAATTAGATCAGGAAAAGCTAACACATTGTTGCGGCTGACATTAATATTATATATAATTCCTGAAGACATTGCTGATTAGTCTCGAAGCTCTTCCTGAAAAAAAGAAAAGAGTTTTCTTCAACAACTCACTCTGAATGAAAACACAAAGTTAGAAAGAATCCACGAAAAAGAACAACAGAATCAAGGCCTGGTACCCGTGGCATGTACTGTGCAAGCACGGGCCGGAGGAAGGAAATGAAAGAAAACAGTAAAGGCGCCCTCTATAAACACCATGAAGTAAAGGGCGACAGCACACAACGCGTCGCGTCGTGCGTCGTGTCGAGCGCAGCGTTGGGACGCCACAAGGAGGCCCAGTCCCATTGTGAAACGGAACGAGCACCAGCACGATACACGCACAACTTGAAATACGAAGACAGACTCAGCAGGATATTTGTTGCCTTGACTTATTGGTGACCAGCAACTGTCACAGGCATCCTTACAATATAGATCGTGGAGTGACAAAAACCCCCATTGCCTGAAATAACAAAATAATGAGAGCTTCCAATGATCAACTTGTATCTATACACACACTTTACATGTACAGTACATCCACAGACTATAGCACACATGTGTATCGTTGCTTATATAGGATACTTAAAAGTGAACAGCAATGTCCTTAAACATAACATATCAATATCACAAATAAAATCAAGAAGTACATGTACTCACGGGGGGGGGTTCCGTGCAGACAGTACTACACAATCGCCGTGGGACTATGCCTATACAGACGTGGAAATGGGTGCTACTGACATCAAAATATACCCATGCTCTCCGCGTCCCTCTAAAACTCGAACTCCACGGCCAACCCAAACCCAACGCAAAGAGTCACCAAGTAAATTATAGTACAAGTAACGTGAGCTTCAATTAACACGTCACCAAAATATCACATAATACAAGGGGTAATTAATTTTGATATATTCAGTCAGTTATCTAAAATAACATTTGCACTTATTTTCCTGGTGTGAGTCTCCCTTGTACAACCAGTCCAGGGAAGCACAAAGGTCACCAAGTAAAGAACATACAAACATGCAAATAACCCAGATACAATGTAGATCAACTACACAATATGCATATTCATGTTTAGAATCAAAAGAGTGAGGTCGCCCTTGCTAAGGCACGGTCTCCTACATGAATAAAAAAATTCATGTGGCTAACCCCCATAAAATTGAAAGGATCTTCTGGCCCTAGTCTTGAATTTCCAGTGAAAAAACGCAGCACTATTTCTGTCTGATTTTGCACTGTTTTCTATGGGCGCGCGCGTACTTGGTGTAGTGCAACCATTGATCTCCATTATAAAGAATGAATAGGTCATCGCCCATTGTGTGTGTACAAAATGTGCTTCCGTACAGTGGTGGCGCGCTGTGTTTCAGGAGGGTAATGTGATGCTGTATGGTGTGCACTTAGTCAAAATTGATTGGGGAAAAAAATCTAATTCAAGGCATAAAAGTAATGAGAAAAGAGGCGACGCCACGACGTGACAGGACGACGCGACAGAGCTGACGTAGCGTCGTGTCTTGATGTCGGGGCGACGGGACGACGCGACGCAATTTTGGCGGCTGTGGAACGCCATAATTTTATATTTTCAGTTCAATACGGGTGATTCACAATACAGCGCGCCATCAAAAGTTTGCCTCAGACAGGCCACTAATAAAGTTTACGGTCCGCTGCCGCGAATAAGCACACTTCGTACATGATTGATTTGGGGATATGTCATTGATTGAGGCATTCCCTGTATACACAAGACCATCATTTTAACTGCCTAGCACCCATTTGCAATAATCAATTTCGAATTTTCAAGTAATATCAACAAATATTCAGAAAAAATTCATTCAATTCAATGGGGCTCCAACCTTAGTCGATTTTACATGTTTTTTTTTCAATAGGACTTTAATTAGTGCCATGCACTCTCGTATTAAAAACTAACATTCATAAAGCTTGTTCGCGTGTACTCAAAGGCACAAATAAGTGATTGTTTTGATTTGATTTTTTGCTCGTCACCTGTGCGTGTTTTGTGTAGTTTTGGAGGTCTACCATTTTGTGTGTGTTTTTTTTTTTCATTCTGTTTTTTGACTGGCTTGCATGGGTTGTGTTTGGTAAGCTTTAGGGGGTTCGTTTCGTTCAGTTCGGTATTTTGGGTTTGATTTCTTGGTATTTTATGTCTTCCAATTGCCTTGTTTGTAAAAAAAACAACAGAAATTCAGATTAACAGTATTATTTTGTTACTTCTTCTGTAGGCCTACATGCAATTCACTTCATGGACTAAGATTTGTGTGTGATCAATCGACTATCAACTTTATTTCACTGAGTTTGCTTTCGGCAAAAGGTCATGAAATATCGCTTCAGAACGACTCAGACGCCCGGTAACCCTTGCTTAAAGTTGTGTCACTGTTGTTTATTTCAGACTGCTGGAGCAGCTTTACAGTGTTTGTCGGGGCCGTCATCGAAGACCTCACACTTCGCCTACTCTAGTCCATGCATTTTACTGGCGCAAAGCGGCAGGGATTGGTGCATCTGCACCCAGAGGATTCAGGTCTTAGGTTCAGGGGGCTAAATTGTTTTCCTCAAACGACTACCATATTTTTCATCCATGAAACAACACTCACCTCTCCCCCAAGAAAGGTTGTAGCAGTGTTTTTGAAAACCTGGAGATTTCGATTCTCCCATGGTAACTTACCCCGTACCCAACTTCCAGTTCTTGTGAGTCACCTTCGAACGTCCTCGGTGTCAGCTCCTTCAGAATTAAACAATTGTAACTCCTTCGGTTTGAAAGAACTCTTGTCAGAATCAGCCCATAGTACATTTCCTCATGATGTTGAGAAGTTTTGTTGAATTGTGCCAAGCCTTCAGATATTCTTTATCATATTGTGATCTAAAGGGTTGGTCTTTAGTGTGTTGCCTTCACTCTGTAGTATACCATTTCATTTCATATAATTATACGAGCATACCAATGAACCGTGAAGTCATTAGCTGTCAGACCATGTTTAGAACTTCGAATGTCCTTTTTATCTCTGCGATGGTTCCATTGTGTCCTTTAGCGTTTCCATGAAAACAACATAAAATATGAAAAAATGCATAAAACATCCTGCTGATAAAGCAGTCAGAGATGATGATCTGTTGAGTACTGTATTATGCTTTCCGTATTCCTCATGCGCAAGTTTGCAGAAAATGGTACGATCTTTGTCGAATAATTTAGCCAAAAGAGATTCATGCTCAAACTATATACATTTCTTTCATTTTCGAGAAAGATAAAGATATTACTTATCGTAAATTAAAGAACATACAAATTAAGTCTCAGATAATTTATTTCTACACTATTTTGATCCCCAAGCTAAATACTTGATTTAAAGAAATATGCTATATTACAAAGAAACACCACGCAAACGACAATGTGCCAGTGTCACTGTAGGGTTTCCTCCTTTTTTTGCTTACCATACAGTTGCTGGTGAACCTAAAAACCTTTACCTGCCGCTAGGGAAAGGTTCAAGATTCTTATGCAGCTATCAAAACACCAAAATGAACATTTAGGTGAAAGGATAAAATCTGCCACAGCCAAGGGTATAGTTTCTGCAAACCTTAGCCGCCCAAGAGTAGCAGGTGAAATGAGAAAGGGGTACGGCGACAACAGTATTGGGCTACGAGGCTACAGTTTCACTGCAAATATCTAAACATCTCCATGGCAGAAAATAAACAGTGTCATATTTCACCACGTGAGTGATTCCCGACCGTGACGAAAAAAAGTCCCAAAGTGTTAGGATAAAACGTTGCTTTTTATTGGAAATCAGTAACAGATGCACCAGATAATTTTATTTGCACCTGAATAGTGCTTAGTGCAGAATTAAATTCACTCTTCTGAAGCATGGAAGGACACTGCGACTTAAGTTTCCTTCTGTAAATACTTTTCTGGGTGCAGATCTCATAACTACATTGTCTTCGTTTTTTAATAATTTCAATTACTGAATTATCTGTGCAAATTGTGTACCTCATGTATATGTACAGTCAATACAGATTTTCCAGAGTGCGGTATTTTATCGCCACTGCGAGCTGAGCAACGCCCAGGTAGGAAAGTTGTCCCCAAATTCCTTGCTTTCAGTACCCTTTCTAGGTTACGTACCCCTATTACACTGGTGTCATCGTGACCACTGATCGCCAAAGAGCATTTGAGTTAGTATTATACTTGAGGCTTATGGTATTTTAAGTCATTTTGGGAGTGTTTTCTTAATCCTATTCGTGGGATTCCTTCACAATAGATTTCTATGCCTGACACGTTACGTATAAACAAGACATGTCACATTGCATCTACTGTGCATGGTAGACCTCGTGTGTAACGGACGCGCTGTTTATTACAGTACAGCGCATACGTGGGACTGCACTTTGCATCGGTGGGGCATGACAACATTTTCCGTGGTTAAACTTTTATGTCAAGAGTGGGCTTTCTATAATTATACAATGTACGTTCCCCTTACAACTGCATGTACATATGCTGATGGATGTTGTTATTGGTGTCGTTTATATTCCTGTACTTGAATGTGTACTGTATTGTGTTTTGACAGCAGCTCGAGACTTTGGGGGGCTTAATTGCATATATGCTTAGGCTGACGCCAGCAAACCTAGCTCGAACCCGTCACTGTCTGAGCTACCACACCGGGGTAATTTATCAAAGTGCACTTGTTATATTTCAATTACATGTTTTGCAGACCACTTTTGTTACTTCGAGAATAATAACTATTGTATGACTAAATTGTATGCAATATTTCTTTAGTTTAAACAATTATATAAATATTTTACATACAGGATTTATTTTCAGGCGCAAACTCCAGTGCTGAGATGAGACTGATGACCCACTTAGAATAAATACTTGATAGCATATCCGGTGTCCGACTCATCCTTGGGGGAGTATTCTTCGTGTCTCATCGTCCAATACGGAGGATGGACCTACCACCCTACCCCTAGGGGCGGCCTAAAATTCACGTCTGGTCACAATAACCTCGTTTATTCGACGAACCTACTTTTAAAATGCATGCTGCCCAGGTATTCATATTTACACTCGTGTGGTGCATTTTACCAAACTGCTGTGGAGACTTCAATAAGCGTGTGCCATCACTTTGTTACTAAAACTAACACACAATGTCGTCCATGCGAAAATAATGAATCGCACAAGTGCCTCAATGTCACCAAGACGTTCGATTTTTCCTTTTCGACTGTTATTTGAATATGCAGAAGAATGCATGTACCATTTATGTTCAATTGAAAAGTATATGCTGCGAAATTTCAAAGTGCAATACAGATTGACGGCACGATTATCCGTACTGAATCACAGTTCGTCAGCAGCCCGACCCGAAAAAGGTAAGGAATCGTGAACCTTCAGAAGTCGCCTGGCGGCCCACCAAGTTTTCCTTGTGCCCTACGCCATGTGGTAGCAGCCAAGCACTTACGTGTGGCAGCCAAAGTTTACAATTTTGGGTGCAAAATTTACAATCTGGAATATTTCAACTTAAATACCGTAATCTCGACGACCACAAGCTGTCTATGAATGTGCTTTCCATTCAAACTATAGTAAGATGCCAAGAAATAAACTAAATTTTTGACAAGGTCCTTCAGTAAGCCATATATAAGCCCCAACCCCACCCCTTTTTATTCTTTTGTCAGCCCCCAAAAGGTTAAAGTTCACAAGATGGAAAACACTGAGAGGAACTTGAAACTCGCATCATTAAGAGGTTTAGCTTCCCATTAGAGGTTTTTCTAGTTTTGCGGCCTCTAGCTCTTCACCTGACCCCCTCTCTACGGACCAGCCCAGCGAACAGTGTTTGGGATCAGGCGTGTTCGAAATCGATGTGGATTGTCATGCTGTCCGCTCTTCCAACCGTTCCATCTGTAGGGGAAAAATACATTGATCACTCAGTCGGTATAGAGATCATTATATGTAATACACAAACTGACATGTCATTCATTTCAAAAGTCTAGGATCTGCACATCATTCCAATTCGTCTGTTCTTACTATTGGACAACACATTATTCCACACCACCGACTTGTTCCCTCTGCTGTAGAGTATGATTGGGTAGGGATACTCTGACTTGCGTTGCTCCCAACAACATGATCCATGTGAATTTGACTCGGTCACAACCAACCAGCCTTTATCAATTTTACAACCGCCGTAGTTGCTGTTAATGAAGAATCGCCGATCCCTTTTATACATGACAAAAGAGGAGAAACGAAATGATCATTACTGACAGCATCGGGGTGCGAGAATGCTACACATTACACATTCTCACGAGCTGATTACATGTTTTTTACTGTATCCCTGTCAAAATAATCAGATCATATTTTAATTAAGGAGCGCATGTCCCAATAATACTTGAAACGTCAAGCGTTTGAAACAAGATCAATTGACATGGATGCTGATCATGCATGGTGATGGCATCCAAAAGCAACCTTAGAATAAACAATAAAAACGACAACATTGCCAACCACGACAAACAAAAGCAAGCATAACAACTGCAGCAACAGCCGAAAATCACCATAGGAACAGCCATAACTACAAAATGTGTACTAACACTTGACCGTGACCCTCGATGCTGAAATAGTTAACAGAGCCTCCAAAGAGCGAAGAAGAGCTGAGATCATCCCACGGGGATGATGTGAGTCTGTCCTGCCTGAACCAATTCCTGATGTCTGACCCAGTCCCATTGAATATTAACTCAGCTGTCTCCCCTGTGCTGTTATGCAAGGAAAGCTTGACCTGAGTGAAAAAAATGGGCATTATCATTGTAGTGCTCTTCAACACAAGCTAATGTTCCGTTGTTATCTCGCTTTATCCCCTTTGGCTTGACAACTCAAACAAGCAAATTAAGGCATGAGTATGTGCAAAAACTTAGTTCCTTTTATTCCCTAGTCGGTCTTAGCTATCGAACAACTTGAGAGTGCACAAATAGTGTATTCGTGTATGTTCATCTAAATATTCAGTTTAAGGGAAAACGGAAATTGTCTTTAGAAGTGTGGATTTTTTTAAGTCGATCTACACGGTGTCCCCAAATCTGAAACTAACATTTAATTTCTCCAAAATTAAGCGTTAGAAATTGTTGTTTTGGGGTTTAAGATTAAAGCTTAGAATGCCATCTTTTCGAACCTGACCACTTCATTTTTATCCAATGTCGACTGTTTTGTTTGTGCATGTCCAATAGGATGTATCACGGCAATTAAGATGCTTAGTGTTTATACCATGTAACACCTTTGAACACACAATGAATCATTGGAAAGGCTCCCTGACGGTCGATGTTGAACAGAACAGGGTTCGTTTGTGTTATGTTAAAAACCTCTTATATTTTCCATCATAAGGACCCTGATAGGGTTCAAGTGGTTTATGTTACAGAAGTTAACAAGATCCGCACCTTGTCGCAGATTAACTGAGGGAAACTGCACAAGTTCAATTGAAGATATCTGAAACAAACTAATTAAACTCAGATATAGCAAATTCTGACACTTGCCGAAGAAATAACATCCTTCATTTCTGAAAAAAATCGGATTCATCAAGTTCAGAAGTAGAAAAAAGTTCCAAACAAGATAAGAACCCAAACAGGTGTGTGATAATTTATGATTTGAATTCCGTAAGTGGGTGTATAGTCTTGCAAGATAAACTATGTGAACCACTACACTGGACAGAACAAAAATGAATAATTCTCCACAACAAAACATGAGCCTCTGATGGAATTTAACTATAGGCCTAAGTACAAAACATTATACCCTTTAATTTAATACCATGAACAACAACTCATAACAATTATTTTGGAGAACAAATTGATACTTTTAGTCTGTGTTTAGTTTCGTGTTATAAGAAGTTATGAGAGTCAGGTTGGTGTAGTGTTTTTTTTTCCTCATCTTCCGTCTCTGGGACCCGGGCTCGAATTCCACCCAGGTCAGCATATGGATTGGGTTTTCAGTCCATGTCTGACTCCGTGGGTTTTCCCTGGAATATTCATTTGGGTTTCCTCCCGTCTAGAAACTCAGTTCCTCGTTGTCGTCTTAACTATCACTTTATCCCCTGTGATTGGCGCTAAATGCGCTGTTGGATGAACATATATAAATAAAATGAGTAAATAAACCCTCAAACCCGTGGAAATGGCGGGACAGGCGTACGGCATTGAAGTGGTGATCGCGGTGTAAGGTTAAAGCCAGGTCCACATTAGAGAACTGAAGTGCCCCTCGAACTGAGGAAACTGTAAATAACAAGTGTGCAGGGCTTGAACAGGAGTTCCAGCTTTAACTTCTGTGCTACGTGGACAACACTGAGCCCTCACAATTTCTGTATTTTGCAACGGAGTGTAGGCGTCATGTTTAAAAATGGTGATAGGCTTATCTTTAGACTTGATCACCTATACTGGAGGAATTTCTCCGTCGTCTGTTCATCCGTCTCCGTGCTTGGCAAAAAGCACGCTGTGCATTTGCACTTTCCCAGCGCCCTTGTAGGGCGGTGGGATCAAGCAAGACGATCATAGCCTTGACTCGGCCTCTGTCGTTTGCAGCCTACCTGTTTTACATTTAGCTGCCCGTTGCGCCAAGCTCTGTGAAGGTCATTGTCCCGGCAACTCCCACTGATCTCCACGCTCGGGTCCCAGTTCTCGTTGGTCCACATATTGTACAATTTTGCTCCAGTTCCAGCGACGCCTTTAAACACCAATTGCCACTTGGGGTCTACACAGGAAACGGGGGTTCGTTTATTAAACCCTCGGTTCTTTAGTTCAAACCTGAACAATTTATAAACCTTGAAATGTCAAATAACGTCGTCAGTAGGCCTATGTGGGATACAAAGTTTCAGAGGGTGCCTCAATCTAGATCTAGATCAAGTTTTAAAAGGATTTGTTCCGTATTCTGCGGTACCTTACATCTTTAATACGTAGGGAAAAACAATTTATTTTCACTGCAAAAAGGGGAAAAAGTTGGTACTTGGTTATTTTCCTCCAGAAAACCTAGCGACGAGAATATAATGAGGAATTTCTTTACGATGAAAGTGATCAAAGTCCAGTTGGCAGTTGGTCATTTTGGTCGCATTTGAGAAACATTCGGTTTTTCAAAACACATTTAAGGCCAGTTTGTCGTTTAAAATCTTTGCATTGTCACATCATGCATGCTTAAGCCTTTGTTAAATCCTGCTTGGTTGGCATATACAATTTAGCACACACCACTAAAAAGCCTTTTCAGTTGGTGGAAACGGCGAAACAGAGACGCTTTTATACACATTATTCATTTTTTACATACTATTAAGACTTTTCCTCACCTCTATGAAAGCATAAAACTGACTTCAAAAACCTGTCCAAATGGCAGTCATCGAGATATTATTATTATTAATATCATTATTATATTGATTTATTGCAGTACTCTATCAGCAGCAGGAAAAAGGACCAGCTTACTAAAAAAAATTCAAAAATTCACCATTTTAAGATTTTAAAATTCATCAATTTAAACATTTGCAGAAAAATCCACAAAATCCATAAAAATAATGTTAAAAATCTGAACATCAAGTTTTAAACGATAAGACAAATTTAAAAAGAAATAAAAACATTTAAAACAATGTTGCAAAATGCATTACAAAAGTTTAGACGGAACAGAAATGGAATATCGTTTCGCGTGTGTCCAATAGGGAAGTAACGCCATTAAAATGCCTACCTCGTGTACCGCAATGTTTGCGTCCAGTGAAGTGAATACTCGGGTGTGAAGCAAAGGTGCATCCAGTCATCTGTAAGAATGAGTGCGCAGCGATTACATCAAATTAATGAACAGCTGGCATAATAAAGGGCGTAGCGAAGGCATTTTCGGGGGGGGGCAGAGTCAGTTTGCCAAATTATAACTTGTGCACCAACCTCTAGTCGTATGAAATTCACAAAGTGCGGAAAATGGAAATCCGTGCTACGCTACATTTCATGATTCTGGGGAAATGCCGACAGCCAACGTATATCGTTTATGTGCCAACTTTTTTATTCATTTGTCCACTGCAAAGCTGTATTTGCTGACTGCAATTAATTATTGGGGGAATGCCGCAACCCTACACCCCCGGTCGCTACTCCCCTGACAGGCGTGCAGTTTTCTGACATAAAATGAATAAATAGAAAAGTAATAAGTATTATTTTTTAATGGTGAAATTACTATAAGGGTTATTATTCGTACTCGTACATCAGCGACAATGTAATGCATTAACATTATGCATTAACATTATGCATTACAATCCGCAACAATGGGGCATAATAATCAGACGGACCTGATTCTCTTTGTAAAAATCCCTGCATCTGCCCTTGACGGTCATTGCGTAGTGTAGTGTTGCATTGCAATATAACAGCATTGCATGCTGTTATATTGATCCCCTGGAAACTATCAGCACTTGAAATGGCGTCAGAGTCGATGTCTGGCACCAATGCTGTTTTGTAGGGCCGAATGACTTTGCTCCTTTCTGAAAACCCCTCTTGGGCCAAAAAACTAAGTCTCCGGTTTATGGTCAGCGAGCACGTCGTCGTAGACCTGCGCGTCGGCAAAATAAAAAACTTATTTCGTATACAATGTCCAAAAGCTGCCAAAATTGCTTGATCGACTGGAATCCTGCGACTACATTTGCGTGATTTAACGTGTTTTAGATGGGGTACGGTTCATTAATATGTACAGTAAAGGAGGACTGTCCCTCTTGATCCCATAAATTTAGGCAGACACTCTTTTTCAATTGACGTCATTTCTGTGTTATAAATTTACATGTGGGAACCAGACAAACGAGGTGCATGGTCCTGTGTCCTTTTTACATCAACAAGCTGAAAACACTTTTAAACAGTAAATAGTGAGGGGGCCTGTCTATTTCAGTGTGGGTACGGCGGTACGTACACGCTGCGGCTGCGATGGACATTGTGCGTTTTTACTCACATCAGGAAAAAAAGTGGGGGCAAAAGAAAGCCTCGTCACCAGCTCTTGACCAGAAACGGGAGATTTTGGGGGGCTTTGTCTCCAGCGTTGGCTCAGTCGTTCATTGTGGTACATTTAAATCATGCAGATCAATATTCCTGCGAAATAAACCTACGGAGCTGCGATCCCTACCGTTGGGAACTTCGATGGAGTCCGAAGGTGATGGTGTGGACGAGGCTAAGATATGGCTGGTTAAGATTCTCTGTCAGTTTCACTTTTATCATTTGTACGTTCCCTGGCCGTGATTTCTGGTGGGAGCATCATCCAATGCCTAGAGATGGCCCATCATTTTTCCTTTAAATACACAAAGCCTAAGCAGGTTTTAATTTATATTCTGTCCTTGTCAACGCTTACGGTTACTCCTGGTATCATTAAAAATGGTGCAGATGTGGGAAATAAGGGAAAACAACAAAATTTAGTCCTGATGTTAGTCGATTACTTCTGGGGTCAACCTACCTGTGTTAAAATTAATAGCCATTTTACTGGCTGCTGACTTTAGTGCGATTCGGTGAGTGGTTGAAACATGCGTGACGGCTTTCAAGACTTGTGGATTCAAAATTACGGCCCAGCTCACGCTTGTTCGAATTATTAATTTAAAAGTAAAACTGATTTCATTTCATCACGGACGGCAAGAAAGAAAAATATAAACCTGACCCAAATTTCTGCATGTATTTGATTTCTCTTTTAAAATGATTTATAAAGAAAACCAGTTCGTCAAAGCGAAACGAGTAAATTTAAATCTGTGGACAACGCATGTCACGTGGTCGAAAACAATCCGCAACACTCATGGCACCGACATCGTATGTGTTGGTGCACTGCAGCCCCTCGCAGTTGTACATTTTGATAAATGGTCCATGCTTCTGTCTATATTACTGTAAAGTAAGTACATAAAAGTGTCAAACAATCTTTGAGATCTTCCTGCCTGGAATGTTGTCATTTTCAAGAAAAGTGAAAATTTAATGATTTTTTCAACTATCGCCCGGACGAGCGATCAACGGAAACTATAATTCCTTTAAATATCGCAACTGTTCAAGGTGGTGTACACCATCAGTAAAATCCCCCAAATTGGACTACCGCGTCCAGAGATGTCTTGCATGAAAAAAGTACATAACAGCCTCGAACAGTCTGCAAAATATGTCCGCCCCCGAATGCAGTAGATGTCGAGAAAACAGAAATGTCGTTCTTTTTTTACCATGGCTAACCATCTCAAAAGAGCTCATTTCACTTCGCACACCACATTCTTTAACAGGCGCCAATTTTCTTGTTTGTAGTGTTTGCAGACGTTGTTACGAGTCTCCATTACTGAACGGGTAAACCCAAAAGCAACTAAAAACGTACCGACAAAATTGAGCAAAGGCATTATAAACTAAAATTATAGGAAGCTGAGTGTAAGGTGTAGAGTGGAAAATAAATTGGATCAGTGTGAAGTTAAATTTTATTAAAGGAAAGTATTTTCTTAACCCGCAAACTTTGCTAATTCAAATCACACCAAGACCATAATGGTATGATCCAAACATAGCAGCTGTTCCAGGCAGAATGGTGACGAGGGATTTTTATCAACAAAAAGTAGGCCTACAATTTCCACATTAAACCTCCTGTGTTTCAAAACATTTCTTTTTTGCTGATAATAATTAGTGAATCAACTAAGAATGGAGTTTTAGACTTTCATCAGCGTGTAAACTGACGTGAAAGTGCGGTTATTAAGCAAGCCTGCGCGCGCATGTGCATTATTATAGGCCTACTTGTTCACGGACACGAGTCGACAGCGCTCCTGGATCAAGTTATTTCATGAATCCGCAATGCCTCATTGTCGAGGAGGCGCATCATTCCAAGATAAATTCACTGATTACTCCTAGCCATTAATTAAAAACTGTTCCTTTTTAAGGGAATGAAAACCTGTCATGCCTGTTTCCCACCGTGACCCAAAGGATGTTGTTCACTTACTACGAACGCCCTGTAATGCAATGATTTTACGCAAGATAAATTGCAAGATCTTCGATTTAAGCGTTGAAAATGCCGCGCCGTTTTTGTCGATTTTCACAAAGCAGTTGACTCAAACATGAAACAAGTGAGTGGAATGTAAGTTGCGGTGAATATTACACACCGTAATCGGCCAATCTCGTGAAATTACGACAAAAAGGCAATGGTGTTCACTACTTTTAAAGGGCGCAACAAAAATGTGTATGTTTTATATAGTAAAGGAACAGTCTATATTAACAGATAAGAACGAAAGCTGTCATTCCTTCTGTACGCCCAAACACATTATTTAGTGGTGAAATAAGTATCGTAAATAAAAGGCTACGGGAGAATTTGGATTAGTTTAAAATTTGAGTTCTTTATGAAAAAAGTTTATCTCAGTACGTCACTGTCTTTAACTATCACCCCTTAAGATAATGGTATGGTCCAAACCGAGCATGAGCTATTTTTTCGAACAAAGTATGCAGTTTCATGCCCTAACTGAAAAGGTCGTTACCATATTTGCTGGTTTGTACAGTGTTTGTGTTGTGCGCTAATGTTCTTCATAAAATGGGCCAAAATGCAACTCCGCATGTCATTTTTCAAAACTTCTTAAAGAGTGACTGATCATTCAAAATACAAATTTGAATCTTCAGGTTCATAAAATGATCATTTGGGGATAATTAGGCATACTGTGTACATTTGGTGGACATTAGGCTGGCTACCAGTGCAAATCAAAATGGAGTTGAACTCATTTAAAGTTTACGTCAAAGTGTTTACACCAGATGACTTTATTCAAAATTTCTCTCAACAAGAAGGAGATTTCAGTATATTTTCATACTGATGTATTTTAAAGCACCTAAGAAATAACATTAAAGCAATATGAGCCGTGCAAAATTCGCACAAATTTGACGGAAAATGACGAGAAAGGTTTATATCCTTTCTCTTATCGTTTGTTATCACTCTTACTATACCAGCAAATCTGCCATGTCTCATACCTTTCAACCACCGAAAATTTGGCTGCATCAAAAATGCATGATGAGTACAATATGTTCGCTGCGAACGTCATGTTTGACGGAATTTTGTTGACATTCGAGAGTTTTGACAGAAACTGCATGACAATGCTGAAAACGCTGTCACATGTAGTGCTTGAAAGTGCTTGAAAATTAAATGTAGGATGGTCATTTTGCCGCTTATTTCGGAGAAATCCCCGCTCAAAATTAAATTATTAACAACTCAGAGCATTAGATTTTCATCATGAAATCATCGTTCATTTTGACAGATTTTCTTTTGAGAAACCTTGGTGCGAAAACAAAAATCCAGCAGCGTCAAAATTCCACGCAGGTGCTCATGAATACTGAAAGAAAAAGAGGATGCAATGTCTGGGCTCATGTCAAAGGTCAAACAGCCTACGATGCAACAAAATGTTTCTGCAGTACCACCTTGAGATACTGACGGACGCTGAAAATCGCCACGATCGGAAATTAGGACCGCGGTTTTCTACAACGTACTTGAAGAAAATGTTATCATTCCAGTCGTAAAAAGATGGTGATTTGGGCTTCTTGTTTGCACTTTTTAAAGCTTGTGTTGTACATGGATTTTTTACTTTACTCGCTGTTTTTTGGCAGTCAATTTTTTGACAGAATTGAATGACGTTCGCGACTGCCGACTTCGGGACCCGATCATTTTTGAGAGACAATTTTTTTTTAATTTCGTGATTATGGCTTTAATATGTGTGAATATTATCGCTTTTCACCACGTAGAACTCTATGCAAAGTTAAACTGGACGAAACGTGTTTACAATTCAGGATGTTACTAAATACTACCTGTCCACGAAATGTTTCAACCCAGGTCTCTCGCGTTTGCATTTGGAAATATATTATCTATAGCTCTCAAAGCCGTGCGCACATACCCGTTGTGGTGTGTTTACAGACCATTCTTTTGCTGCCTTTCAAATGTACTCGATCTTTGTCATGCAAACTGCTAGTTGACCAAACTATGGCTTGTCATGGACATAAAAGGCAATATTCACAAAGTGATTATAAATCTTTTGTGACAACCAAAACACTAAACAATAGATACTACTACAACTAAAAGATATTAAATGGAATGCCTCTCAGTTAACAAAAGTGAAGCAAAATGTGTATTTTGAAGCAGAAATTGTTGCCGACTGTTCTTGCGACCTTTGCAGAACATTCCAGGAGAGAGACCCATATCACTCGACGGTCGTCTTCACGAATTAAGACTCTCTTCTGGTCAGTCACTTTGCCGGCTGCGGACATTGTGTTGGCCGTTCGCGACACTCAGCCAGCACCATTTGCGACAAAAACGAATACATTTTAAAAAACGGTGAGGCAAAAGTGAAAATCAATCTAGAACATTATTTTGGCTTAATGGCAACGCTTTCACGAGTGTTTCCCTAGGCCATTATTTGGCACACACAATACGGGCCTTATGCAACGTGTAACTACTTGGTAGAAAGCGCAAACTAAAACTTCTATCACAACCGCAAACAAATTCACAATGACTTGCAATGCCCGCCTGAGAAACATTTTTGAAGTTTTACAAAGCTGTTGTGTTAAGTAGCATTTTCAGGAAAAAACTGGACACTGAACGTTCTAAAAATTTGCATGTCAGTTGACCCTTTGCAGTAGGTGGCACGAAACCAATAACAGACGAGGATTGTCATTTTCTTGTGAAATTTATACTTAATACGCAAGCAGGAGCAATTACAGTGAAAATAAATATATTATAGTTCATCTGGTAGTAGGTACTTGACTTAATCTTTCTTAGATTGTGTTTGATTCGGATGAAAATTTGCAAGTCTTTCCCCTCGACGTCAAGGGCATTTTGTAAGGCCACCGTGTTGTCTGAGATTTTGACATACGTGAACAAACTATGAAGGAAGGGCGAAACACACGTGACCTGTCCTTGACAAGAATGGACATTTTGCAAGATAATTGATGCCAACATGACCGCATGATACCAGTGGAAAACCTCCCGATAGCTTGGTGCAACAATAATAAGGGAATAAATATGTGCTTGACCGGTCGTAAATGTGCGTTTAAGACTGGCTAAAGGTGGCTTTCCATATACTTGTTTCTTGGGTGCGTTGCATGCACGATGCATTCATGCGTTTCACTTTTACGGACACAAAAATCGACTCCATTAACAATAACACGCGTGTGCGTTGCGTATAATGCCGTCAACATCGCTCCAAGAGCAATATTGTCGGATACGCTGTGTTGATGCGCATGCCTTTCCATATGCGCGTCAACACTTGCGTGCGCGCCAAGTCCATTTATAAAGAGATTCTTTTGGACAGCTATAACATAAAATGGACGGAGGTGTTAGGGAAAATGAAAGTGAAATTCTTCAACAAAACTGTTAGAAATCCGTTAAATGTTGACTTCTTTTGACACTCTGGCAAAAAAAAGGTACAATGGAAATAAATATGTGCGTGGCCGCTGACAATGCCCTCACCTGTGGCCCGCGCATCAGTCGCGTCCATTCATCTTAAAGACGCCTTTCGGTATGTACGTTTTTAGGTAGCTTGAGGTGCCTTTCCATATGCACGTCAACACTTGCGCCATGAACGCAACGCACACGTGTCTTATGTTAATGGCGTCTATTTTTGCGTCTATGAAAGTGAAACCCATGAACGAATCGTGCACACAACAAACCAAAAAACACACATATGGAAAGGCGCCTTTTTCAGTCAGAGAGTCAAAAGAAGTCAATATATGATGGATTTCTAACGATTTTGTTTTAGATTTTTACTTTCAGGTTCCCTAACACCCCCCCGTCCATGTTATTTTATAGCTGTCCAAAAGAATCTCCTTAAATGGGCTTGCCGTGCACGGGACGAGCAGCGTGCACCCAGACTCTTTACCAATCAGACGGGCTTGTATTCAGGTACCAGCGGGATTTACACAGCGGGCATTTATCACTTCTAAGCGGGAACTATCAAATGTTAACCCACGGTCAAGATGCACGTTGTTGAAGGATTATGACGCCCAACCTGACGAATTTTCTTCCAAACATTGATCATCTGTACCTTGGACTACCGTACTTTAAGAAGCCCATCCATTTTTAGTTTGCAATCTAGAAAAAGCGTATGACTTTGCAGCACCATGGACTGTTCCTGTTGATAAAAGTATAATACATGCATATCGGTAAATCATAAAAAGCGTTAAACTTGCAAAAGGTATCACTCTGTAAAACCCATAAAAGCTTGGGGATGTTTACGGTCATTAGTCTCGAAAAGCGCAACTGACCTGATCAGCAAAGGTATAGATGGACCCCGACGCCTTGACCAGGTGACTTTCGGACACGCTCTGGTGCGACAAGGTGTTCAACTCGCAGACTTTGCTCTGCCACCAGTAGTTGGCCGAAGAGCAATTGGCTGATTCCAGGCAAGCAACGTGGCACAGCTTATGCGTCCTGGTATGGATCGAGGAGACATTCCAACCCACCAGGGCGGTGTCCACGACGCTGCACCAAGGCGTCAGGGCTGCATCTCCCCAACCCCAGAGGCTCGTCATTGCAGCGCAGACAAGGAGCAACGTGCTGCCTGTTCCGCTCATGGCAACCGTCCCCATCGCGTCAACCGCTCCGTACAGAATGCAGCAATGGTGAAGGAGAAGCAGTTGTACGTTCGCGCTCTCAAGGACATTTAAGAAAAAGGTCCCTGTACATTGACATATATCACTCTCACGGAATAAGCTCATTGTCTCTCTGCTGATCATGCTTATTAGAGGGCGTACTGCGCTGCAGCAGTAAATTTGTAGATATTTTAACGAACCAAATTTAGTGAAAGTTGGTTGAATTATTTACCCAAGAACGCGGAGCTATTTTCCCGTACGTGTTTCAATTTCATTTCAGCCAACAACTCAGCGAAAAAAAAAGGTCTTGGGTCCAAGCATCCTTTGCATGATTTGGCCTTGGTGTTGAAAGGTGGTCAGCAGTAGGACTGGGAGAATGCCTAGGGCCAGTAGGAACTCCAAACCCTCCCCGGGCCATTCTGGTTCCATAGTCTTTGCATGTCACCACAAACTCCTCGGTGTTCCTTCTGTTTTTCAATCAACCGCGGGACACGATTGCCATTTTTATGGATCGATAACCAACCACGTCAGAATGGTAGCAAGCAACTTCCAACGGGAAGAAATATTTCATGGATTAAAACAAATTGACAATCGTTTCAGATAAAGATTTCCAAACCCCATACGCCGCTTGTGACCATTTTCTAAATAAATTGTGCCTAGTAGAACTCAGCCCAGCTGCCAAACCTTCGGATTCTTCTCGACTAGGTGAACGTTTTCTTGTTAGGTTTATGGGAAGTGAAAAGCCTTTCTTAAATGATTATAATAAATAAGATAAATTGCAGATGCATCTCTCGTGTCAATTTTCGCCCCCTTTCCAAGAATGAAATATATAGAATTATATTGGTTCGTACAGAGATAACATACTCATTTTAACTTTCTTAAGTAAAAATAATCTCGCATAATCTTCTCGACAAGAATGCAACTTAAAATGCATCACATAACGTAAAGCACTTAAGAAACTGAACGCTGTTCTTCACGTTCATTCGATGCGATGTTTCGATGTTAGAGCATCCCGTGTTGGTCCATCCACAGAAAGCAAATCGTTTTTTTTTTTAGCGTAACTCCAATGAATTTTTCTCTCACACAATAATTTTTTTAGCGTAACTCCAATGAATTTTTCTGTCACACAATAATTTTTCTTCAACTATGTATTCTTCAATTTGTGAAAACTGATGTAGATTCGTATTTGGTTAAATGTAATAACAAACTTCACTTTTTAAGGGGAGTAAGGGGGTCATATGGTCCTCTTAGGGTGTTAGAGCTAAGCACCCATTGTCATCATTTAACTCCAAAACAGCGATGCTCAGAATTAGTGTCGATGAGAAGTGTAGCAGCGTAAGCTCGTTATAGCGCCCTCTTTTGGTGATGTGCGATCGTCCTTCGCGTAACAGACACATCTTTCCTCGTGATGTTAGAAGACGGTTGAACCACAATACAGGCCGTTTTTCCAGCTAAGCAAACCCTAGGAATGCAACAGTTGGTAAGAACAGATAATTCTCCCATGTTAGAAATCACCGAAGAATATTAGATTTAGTATTAAAGGTCGGTTGGGGGACTACAGGAACGGGTTGTAACATTTTGTAAAATCATAGACGGTCGTTGCTGGTTCTGTTTATTTTAAGTCTACTACATGGAGTCACAAGTACAATTGTATACTTGAATTAATGGTCATTTGGGTTCCACACGTAGCAAGTACACCAGGTACATAATAAATACATTCATTCTACTCAAATTATAGTTGGTCATTTTCTTTATTTAACCACATAAACGGGTGCTCATTAAGGTCATCGATGTACATGTATTGGTGTATGAAGTTTACATGTATTCGTTGTCAATTAATTACAGCGAACCACTAACACTGGATTTGTGTCAAGGGCTGCCATTAAGGAGTAAACACTTTTCTTCTGTGCTTCAAGACAAGCTGTTTCCAAGGAGTCCTTTGTCATAGTGTTTACACTTTGCATTATTTCTTGTGTAACTTAAGAGGTTACAAGAAGCCTAGGCAGATTTCCGTAGTCGACTGAACCTGATCGACGCTGATATATAATTAGGTATCAGAGTTTGACGGAGTTGCGTCGATGTTCAACCTTGAAGTCTGTCATGGACATCACTATCAAAATAATTCTGTATGCGGTACACATAGGCCTAGCTATATTTTCAAATTTGGATTTCGACTCCGTATTCTGTTTAACCAGCCGTTTAAGTTGTGTTCTTTAGAGATTCTTGTCAAATAGGATTAAAATTTCGATAAATGAACATCAAACTGCGCAATATAGCTAACTGGAAGAAGTCTTTACAGCTTGGTATAAACGACAATTAGAAGGCCTACAAAATTGTGGTGCTGGGTTCGGAGAGGAAGCTGTCTCTAAAACAGAGCCAAGTTTTAAAGCTTGATCCTCAGAAGAGCATGTATCTGTTCTTTGTCCTATTTATCCATTCTTTCGAAGACCATTTTATAAACATTGTTCACGTCTACTTCTTTCCCAGTTCCTGTGCCTCACTTTTGCGGGCATTGCAAAACTGGAACTATGGAACATGTATCTTCTGGCCACAGACGTTAAATATCTGGATTCCCTATCCTCTTTTACCGACTGAAGACAAGCAGCAGCCATCTTGCCCGTGTTCAATCGTACGTGGAGCACGCCCTCAACCTTTCGCCTTTATGTTTATATTGTTGCATGACAACGTATCCAATCACTTTCAAACTTAGATGTGTTTCTACGCCTATGTTGGAAACAGTTCTGGTTTCCTTTTATGGTGAATGTATTTGAGTTAGCCAGGGTTCCGCCATGACACGTTTGGTTAACCCTTGTAGAATTTCTGGATTAATTACACGGCAGTTTAAAAGTGATTAAAAAGGAGCGTTGCATGTTTTGACTATTTATACCGCGCATGGATACGACATTCCCTGCTCGTTTTGCTGAGTCCGCTGTGTCCGGCGTGTGCTCCTCTTCCATGGCCGACGCTTAATGGACAGAAGGCTGACCTTCTGTCTTGGATTCCGTAAACTTTTTGCCTGTTGAACGGCCTCAGGCCTGGGCCTACGGACCATTCGTTTGGGACCTGGGACCTTTGGTGTCCGAGTGAGTTTGGTTCTATGAAGTTGGGTATCTTTGTGCCGCTAATTTAACTCGATTATTAGTAACTTTCAGCCGTGTGCAAAAGATGAAGTTGGGTATCTTTGTGCTGCTAATTTAACTCGATTATTAGTAACTTTCAGCCGTGTGCAAAAGGCCCGTGTGTCTTGCATGATCACGTGGTCGACAAATTTGCATAACCCACATTGGGTGCGTTCGATTAGCTTACACGTGTAAGTCAAACTTGCACGAGAGCGTTCGTTTAGCCATCACGTGATGTTCGTGCCTGCCCTGGTGTCAGCCACTACTACCCCAGCTGGCGAGCGGGTCTCTGGAGACTGCCCGAGTGTAATGACGTCACGGATGGACTGTTCGAGCTTGGACGTACATGATGGAACGTGGCGGGGACTTGACCTTTTTCCCAGAATGCCTTGGAAAACACACTGCAGCGTTCGATAAGCCTCATTTTGAGGCTTCCCTTGAGTGTAACACTGGTGTGTTCAGGGAAGCTAATCGAACGCACCCACAGTGTGATAGCGAAATCACTATCTGCTGTAGCTCTAAATTTTACGCTCGCGGTGGTTTTGCGTGTTGTTACTTGATTTTGCCCAATATTGTAGGGCAAATGAAAATGTTTAGTTAAATTGTCATTATTTGGTTTTCGCTTCAATATGTGTACCATGTATTTAAAAAGGATTTATATTTTGCACTAACTTAAAGGGTTTTCTCTTGACTGATCAACTAGTTCTAATAAATTACATCTGTGATAAAAGCCGAGTCGTCCACAACCATGCTGTGACTTTTGCCGAACGATTTGGTTAATGATGGTGAGCAAGGCTTGGAGCCTGTTTGTTTCACACTGATCCAGATCGCCAGCAGTGATACAAGAGCTGGTTTGCGCTATCTATTACGTGGGTTCTGGTGTCAGTGAACCTGGGACAGATAATTGATCGCGATCCTGATCCGCTTGAAACAAACTGCCCCCGAGTATTATCTTATTGTGTTACGGTAAGATGGCTGTCGGTGGCTTCAGTCGGTACATTGCGAGCATTAGCGTCCGTGTTTCTACCGTGTTTCCTACATTGGGAACTTCACAGAGCGTCAGCCTTTCTCTGTGTTTGTGAGTACTGGTGGCAGTGGCTGAACTTGATGTCTATTCTACTGATCTCTCCCTACCAATGGGATAGCACGCGCGCTAATAGCCATGCACAAAAAAATGAGACCTCCGTGACTCGGTATTTGAGCCTTTAAAGATGGCTGCCATTTGTTTCAGCGGGCTCTGGACCCCTCGCCGTAAGGGTTTGCGCTACGAGCTCGACGGCATTAAACCTTTGCTGCTTTAATTCACGCCCCCCCCCCTCCATTTGTAAAATTCTGGATCCACCCTGCAACTGACTTTAAGGGTCTTGTCTTGCATACAAATCACTATCGTAACCGATAGATTTGAAAGCACACTCACTGTTAGTCTACTGCTATTTCGTTTTTATGTGCAAGAGATCGAGAGGGCGAAGAGTCAAAGAACTGATGTTGCCTTTTTGTGCATTCCTGCGATGAATGTCTCCATTGCATGATTGAAAGGGAGGTTTAACGAGCTACTTTTCCCTGTACACTGCTGAAACCACTAATTACAAGGACAAAAAATGGCTCTTCATTCCCCATCGCTCTCGGACCATAATCATGTTGGTAACCTGCAGAGTTGCTGATTCTAGTCATGTGACTTGGACTCGAGTCGGGCTGGAGTCGCTATTTTTGTGACTTGTGACTTGACTTGTAAATACCAGCTTTGACTTGTGACTTGACTTGGACTTGCAAAAAAATGACTTGTGACTTGACTTGGACTTGCACAAAATGACTTGCTGCCACCTCTGGCAACCTGCAAATTGGCAGAGAATACGACGCCGCGCGAGAGAGTATTTACTATACGCTTTCTCATACTTCAGCCTGCAAAGTTGCGAGGGCGAATCTGTAACATATCTCCCTTCTAAAAAAAGGCTTGGGAGCTTGG